ATAACTATTATACAAGTAACGTTTATATGCTTTTATGAGTCAAGTAGTACAGGTTGTTTAATTCATTTTAAACAACATAGTTAAAGTCCTGACATTATAACCAGAATCTCCAGCAGGGGATCGAAACAATGTGTGTATAGATCTATATTAGGATTGACAACCCCACACTCGGATTGCTAGCTACAGCCAGGCATACACGCCCGTGAGTGACAAATTGTTATCAACAGCTTTCAACGCATTCATAGCGTTGGGTCAGGCCATCTAGTCAGTATGGTTATAATAACTCATTAAAGATATTAACAATACGTTAGCCTATAATTAAGTAAACTTAAGTACATTTTCAAAGTACTAGTTTACAAGATACAGTTTACAAGATACAATTTACAGTATTACATTACAGTTTACAGTAACAGTTTTATATAACTAAAACTACTTTTCATATACAGTAGAAAATATAGGATTTTCTGGAAATAGTTTACATATTTAAGAAACAGAAAACATTCTTTCAAACATAAATACTTATGCACTCACTCAACTTTTTGTTGATACCCTCTTTTCAAATTACTTGTATTCTCAGGGAATCAATAGACAGGTACTCCCCGAGCTTTTGAGAAGATGGAGCTATTTATGTTTTGACTTCTTCTTTTGTTTAACTATTTGGTTTCAGTATACTATGATGAAACTCATGTAAATACTTATACTTTTTAAATACAGTGGTTGTTTGTACTTTGATTACTATTATACATGTGTTGTGATACTACAAATGAAGTCCTCCACCCCTGGACGTTTCCGCCGTCTGGTTTGGGGGTGTGACAGAAATGGAAAATGGTTTTGGTGTTACTTTGATGTCAGATCAACATAAGGTATGTCATTTAGTCTTTAATGTCATATTACTACATGTAAGTTGTATTGAATTTACATGAACCTTTTGTAAAAAAATTATCACCTATGTAACTTGTGAAAGAGATATTGCTTGCTGCTGAACACATACAATGTGCAAGGTATATTCTGGCCAACTTCAGGAAAAGATTCACTAGAGTACACTATGAGAAGATGTTCTGGAAGGCATGCAAGGCACCCACTAAGCCTTTTATTCAATTCAGTAATGAAGGAAATTCAAGTTCTTAATCCTACAGCCTTTGATTATCTTATGGAGAAGAACCCATAGTCATGGTGTAGAGCTTTCTTTCAGGAGGGAAGGTTGCGTGATGTAGTAGAAAATGGATGCTCTAAGAGCTTTAACAATGTAATAAGAGATGCAAGGAAAAAACCAATCATCACAATGCTAGAAAAATTATATTGTATGTTATGCAAAGACAATTTAAATTGAACATGAAAACTAGTTCATGGCCTGAATTTAAACCATATCCATCAATCACAACCTTACTCAATTAGTTGAAAAAATCCCAAAGGTAAATAATTTATCATTTTATTAAATATGCTCAAAACTATTAGCATAGACTAACTACTTAATTCTGTCATTAGATATTCATGCGTTTTACCAACTGGTTTAAACTTGTTTGAGACAAGGAACTTGGCAGAGTCCTTTGTGGTATATTTAGACAAGAAGACATGTTCTTGTAGATTGTGGTAGTTAAATGGGTATGAGTGTGTGCATTCAGTTGCAACCATATCCTACCCGAATAGAGATGTTGGAAGTTATGTGGATCCTATGTACTATGGAGCATTTTACAAGATCACTTATAAATATCCAATGTATGGGATGAATGGTAGCAATATGTGGCCTTATACTAAATTCATCGCACCACTACCACCTTTGAAGAGGAAAATGTCAGGCAGAAAAAAAGTTAGTAGAAGAAAGGACCCAAGTGAAAAGACTACAAGAGACACTGTGTCAAAGGTTGGGAAGAAAATTCTGTGCAGTGTGTGTAAGAAAGTTGGACATAACAAGGTTACATGTCCTCAAGTTGAGAAGCCCAAAAATCTCAAGGTGAAGAAGAGAAAGAGATCAACTAGTAAAGATGGTAATGGAGGGGACAAAATAAGTGGAGCAAAACCAAATGAAGATGCAAGACCTGAAGAGAAAGGAAAAGAAGGTACACGAAAAAGGAAGCTTTCTGAAAGGATTATCAAGAAAAAACTAGGTACGAGGGTTGAAGGGAAAAATGGAGAAGGCAATACATGTGATAAACCTTTGGTTGTTGAGTATGTAAAAAGTGTCATTTTGTATTACTATGTTGTAATGGTTGAATGATGTTGGATGCATGTTATGTCCTAGAGTTGGTTGTTACAATAATAAGTGTGTTGTGATTTGCATGTTTGAATCTATGACTATATGTAATGTAATGGACGTGTTTGGTTTTAATTTGATGCATGTTCCCATTAGTAGTGCAAATAGTTGCATGTTCTCTATTATTGTATGTCTTTGTGGGTCCAAAGAATGTACTAACTAAACATCAAAAGAAATGGCATTTTCATTAACGTGAAATACGATTACAGACACATAATTCACTTATTAAACATCATAAGTAAATACCAATATCACTCCCTTACAACTTGTAAACTATTATCACAAAGAAAACAGCCTAACTAAGAAGTAACAAAACTTTAAGCTTCCTAACATCAGAGTGAAGCTTCTTATTTGACTTAACCAAACTTGCAATCAATCGTGCCTCACCACTTGTGTTTGTAGAGTCCACTTCGTCTGCCCAACATATAAACCCATCACGGGGACCCTGACATAAAACATTTGCGAGTAAGATACGAAAAGGCAAATAACCATTTTCAAGTCTAGGGCTACAGTTGAAGTTGAAGGAAAATACAGTCGAATATTACCTTTTTAGGGAAAGCATAAAAGGGTCATCCAGGATTGGATTGAGTAGTTGAGGTTCATAATATGACATCAAATCCAAATGAACATTCCACCGATTTCATCGACCCCTTCATCTTCGTAATGTTACTTGCAAAGAAACAAGGACAACAGAGAGCAAAAGAGGATAAAAATGACCAGATAGCAGTCTCATATGTATATATTCGAGGCTAAAAGGTGAAAGGACAAAATTACCCCCAACGACACTGAATGAGGGTTAGTGTCTTAAAAACCCTTATTTTAAATTTTAAATTACTGTTAATCTAAAACAAACACATTCCATAACATAACATAAAACATAGCCTGACTTTAATCAGGTCTTTGTTTCCATTTCGATGAATAAGTTTACATTTAGTTAGTTTATACAAAATTGTCTGTGCTTACACATGTCTTCAACCTCCGCCATCACAAAATAAACAAGACACCACTAAACAATAGCATACCACATTAACCTTAACACAAACACATCACTACGTAAAAAACACAAACACAACATAGATCACTTCTTCATTAGATAGTAAACTTTGCCCACCATGGAAACAAACATCAACACCGCCATTCCCATCACCAACACAGGCAAAGATTGCTCCTTTTTCTCTATACGCTCTAAATGACGTTGCATAATGAGCGAATCCACCCTCGTAATGACCATATCGCGACTCATTTCCTCCTTCAGTCGATTGACATTGATCTTCTGCTCGACAATCTGTGCCCCACAGTCGCAAAAGATAGTGTGCAAGTCGCCAAAGTTGAGCCTATTACGAGAATTTATCGATATGGAATCAGGTGATTGTGGTGGTCGGATAGCCATCTCGTGATTATCGTGAAAACGAAAGTTGTCTGCTTGTTGGATTTGGTTTGGCCGAAATGAGAATTTAGCTGGTCGTGACAAAGAAACCACCAGTTTCGCTTGGTGGGTCGGGAATGCCCGACTTATCAATTTATACGGTAAACTACTAGGGGCTCATATAGCACATGCCAGATTAATTGTATTCTGGGCAGGAGCAATGAATCCATTTGAAGTGGCTCATTTCGTACCAGAGAAGTCTATGTATGAACAATGATTAATTTTACTTCCCCACCTAGCTATTCTAGGTTGGAGGTGGGTCATGGTGGGGAAGTTATAAATACTTAAAACACTTAGGGTTTGCTTGACAATATCATTCATTTTAAGAACATTGGGCCCACAGTAACCCTTAGTGCCCAAGCAAAGAATCGACTTCAACTCAGTGACATGTACAGCGAGTTGATGCAGTAGCTTACGTGGATTGTGTCTGGTATGAGAAACCTTTTAAAACAAGTAAACGAACCTATTTAGTCGGTCAAATAACATTTTGTACCCCTTAAAAGCTAAAAAAACAAAAGAGACCATTTAAACCAAAAGCTGCAACATAGTTGAGTTACAGTGACATTTACCCAAATAGACCATTCACACTCAAGTAAACATATCAAACAATGTGAACAAACAATTAACCTTCACAAAATCACGGCAAGTAAATGTTCCTGAAGGTGCATCATATTAAAGAAAATTAGAAATGTCAAAGTGACTAAATCAATTTGATAATGTGTTGTACTATGGATCGGAATGTTGATACTTTTACAAAATCTATAAACGCGGGTTATCAACTATTTATGTAACAAATTAGTTATGATCAATATATTCCAAGGTTAAGGTCGATGCATGTAAGGTGTTGAAATATTGGTTATTCCAAGGTTAAGGTCGATGCATGTAAGGTGTTGAAATATTGGTATATATGGTATAACAAAGTTGTTTGGTATTTATTTTGTACGTTTATATGCCCAACACTAAAAATGAAAAGTCAGTGAAAGGAATCAATGACATATAATGATTAAAGCTAAATGAAAGAAAGAAAGAGTTTAAGGACTAAAAGTGTTCAACGTTTAAACACTGAGGAGCTTTGTGCAGAAAGGGAAGCAAATTAAGAAGGAGTAATCGGTAATTACGATTTGTATATAAACACTATTCATTCGGCCATTTTAGCTCAAGTTTCTGCATTGATTCTACTCATCGTCAAGTTTCTGCATTGATTTTCTACTGTAAGTTCTAACCAGTTTGCTTCTAACGTAAAAGTTTCATATATTTTGTTCAAAACCTTTTCGGTTGATTCACTGTATTAACAAAACTGCTTACACTACAACCTGTGAATTAATGCATGCAATCAAACAGGCTATATATATAGTTGAGGTACCATCATCATCATCATCATCATCAATACAACCTGCAAGTGCACTCATGGAGACTAAAACTGAGGTATCACTAAAATTGTCTGGACTTATTCGGCTACCACCACTGGTTTCTGTAAAATCTGCACCTCTAGCGGATATTAATCAACCTCTCAATCAGATACCATCGTCTTCTTCAACATCAGCCAATATTAATATATTTTATGACAATCAGATACCACCATCAGAGCCTGTTATACAACCTCCACCAGTGACTGTTATCCTACCTGGTCCTATCATTGGTGGCAAGTGATGTCGATATCAATGCTGATTTCTAATAATGATTCGAATGTGTTTGAGGTGGCAATGGAGATGGAAGCTCAGGAACACGTGGTATAGTAACCAGCGAAATAAAAAGAATATATATATGTACGTGTATATGTTGTTATTCTATAATGTTAATCTTTTTCTGAAAGATATATAATTTTAAGTGGTTGTTTGTATTAGTTAAGCGGACATATGTTTCTTTTATTAATTTTAGATTCTAAACTTCTTTTATTTTTACACGATCTTTAAGAATTTTAAGGAAGGTAGACCAATGGAGGGTTTTGGTTCATATAATCAAAATAATCGTTATAATTATCTTAACACGTGACAACGGTTAAATTCTTATTTATTTATTATCAATTTTATGTAACAATGTTTCATTTATATTACCATTTAGTATTAACTATGTAACCATGTTTCAACAGACTAAGCACATTACAGAAAAAATGTTACGACTAGCATGAACTGAAATATGGTTTTGTATATTTCATCCAAAAACAACCTTATCATATAAATTAAGAAAAAAAAATAATAATAAAACGTCCTTAAACAAATTTTGCCAAAACCAATATTAGATAAAAGTTCTATTGAATTCATATGGTAAATATTGCTCTATGAATATAATTCAAAATACTTTTACTAAGGATACAAGTCTTTAGTAAAATAATATTTTTAGAACAACTTTTACCATGTGCATACTCAAACAATAACTATGAAGTTTCTCATACAAGTTACCTTTGGGTTTATCCGAAGAGTACATTCGAGATTCATATATATAACAACAAAACTCTCTCCTAATGAAATTACTAACATGCCCTTCTAGAATCTAAAGCTTTGATACAAATTAGAAACTCGATCAAACATTGTTGACCAAAACTTTTCTACAGAAAGAAAAAAAATCCATTCATACACGACTCACATACTGCCCAGTCCTTGTATCCACAACAATCACTTGACCTCTCTCTACAAACAAAGGAACATTAACAACAGCACCCGTTTCCACAGTGGCTGGTTTTGTTCCTCCTGCAACAATTTCATGTGCAACAAAATCAAAATTTTGCAAAAATCATAAATATGTTATTGTTTTTTATCTATCGGTTAAGGGTATTTCTGGAAATTAACTCTTTTATAAATAGGATGAATACCTTGAGCCGTGTCACCTTTCAACCCAGGATCAACCTCAACTACAGTCACCTTAACTTGAATCGGGAGCTCAAAATCTATAACCTGAAAACACTCGATAACATTAATATATTATAATTTATAAATTTATTAAACTTTTATTAAAAAAAATTGGTAGGCGTATGTTACAATTTTAATACCTTTCCTTTCCAAAAAAGCAAAATGCAATCCATGCCTTCTTTTAGCCACTTTGTCTTATCTCCCATATCTGACTCATTCAGACGAACTTCCTCATATGATGTCTGTATTAAAATTTGCCAAAATCAAAAAGAATAAAAAAAAACAAATTTTGGAATACAACATTTGAAAAAATATAAATATATTCAAAATACCAGATCCATGAAGACAAACTGTGGACCATCCTTGTATGTAAACTGTTTTGTCTCCTTAGAGATCTCAGCTTGTTCAATCTAACAAAAGCATAAGAAATAGATTAAGCATAAATTACAAATTTGCCCTCATTCCATTTCCCAAGTTCGTTGTTGATTTCTCAAATACTTTTTAAACATCATTCATCTATCACTTTGATCTTATTTAGAACAAACTTTATCATATTTTGTCAAGAGTCTTTGAGATTTACCTTGCTTCCAGCTCTGAAAGTTTTCTCAACAGAATTTCCTGTGAGATGATTCCGAAGTGTAGTCCTCACATAAGCAGCCCCTTTTCCAGGCTTCACATGAAGAAACTCTGAAAATTTAATCAAAGAAAGAAAAAAAAGAAAACGAAATTGAATGTGATTATACTAATTATAGCGACTAGATGTTGGAATAATGAATTTAGAGTGTTTGAGGGTACCTATAACTTTCCATGGAGTACCATCTACCTCAATGTTTGAACCCACCTTAATATCATTGCTAGAAAACGCATAAATTCCTGCAATATTCATAAATTAACTTCAATCTATACATATTATCACAGTGACAACCCCTAATCTACATTTATATTCATATTTGGAAAGGGATTGTGCAACAATTCGACTGTGCTTCGGTGAAACAAGTATTTGAATAGAAGTTCTGCAAAACCCTTGTTAGCATTTTGAAAAGACAGGTTTTCGTAATTGAAACGCATGAACTGAAACCCTATACACACATTGATAGAAAGATAGAATTTGCACTTGGGAATGTAGGAAGCCGTGAAGAAAGCTTCATCGGAAGAAAGAACTTTTTTGACGAAAATGAAATTGAAGAATGTGCAGGCGTTGGTGGAACACTGGATGAGAAAGGCGAAAACTTGAATGCCATCATACTCGCCATAACTTTGGGATTTTGCTAGAGCGATTATTTGTGAGTGAGTGTGTGGAATTATAGTCGAATTTCCTGTTGTTTTTCACCCGGAAACCATCATCTGCGAGGTCCAAAACCCACTTGAACTCGAGGACTCGATGCTTGGATAAGGGGGGTTTTTGGATACTGGTGTTTGCGTTTGGTTTCTTGATTTTGTTTTTGGTAAATGGTAGAAAGCACCCTGTAATATTATATATTTTCAATTCAAAGCCTCGAATTTACAAACCTTTCATTTCAAGTTATCGATTGTTTTTCTTTAGGGAAATTAAATAATGAGTAAATTACAGAAATGGCCGTTGTGGTTTGTTTAAATTCGCAGCTTTGGTCCAACCTTTGAAAAATAGACAGGCTACATCCTTGTGGTTTCTAAAAATTACACTGTTGATCCCTCCGCTGTTAAATCTAACACTGGAGTTGTTATATTTGAATGTATTGAGCATTTTAACCCTCGATATAAATCAATTTACACTCCAACTATAGCGACCAAAACAATAAAAACACTAACTATAGGGACCAAATTAATAAAAGCTCTAACCTAAGTTCTTCCCTACTACCAGTTACCCACGACAAATCGACAACCCCGCCTCCATCCTTGTCTTCCCTCTCTCATCCTCCATCATCGTCGAATTCCCCTACCCCACCATCATTATCGCCTCCTCCTCCATCCATATTCGTCGCACCTTCACTTGCAACTACTTCTTACCTGTGACATCCCCAAATTCATAGTCATTTTAAAAATTTTATTTATGCTTTTTTGAAAATCAGAGTATTCATTTTAAAGAATAATATTGAGGAATTTGTTTCCAGAAAACATGATAAATATATTATCAAAGCATTTCCGAAGAAATGTATTTTGTTTATATTAAAATTTTGGGATGTCATTGTCAATACAGAAACATAAGCATAAACAGACCTTATATTCATTTAAACTAGTGATTTACATCTCCTTTAATCTCTCAATGTAATATAGCTTCATATCGACACCTGTGATACAAATAAACTGAATGGGTCAGGTTGGGAAATCTGGTGAGTACATAGGGTTTTCAACCCACAATAATAAATTTATTATGTTTTACCATCAAACAGTTAACTCAATTACTCATCCTCATTATCTTCTTTATTCTTAAGGATCTACCCTAAGAATCATCTATTCTTTCATTCATTCAATCCTAAGGATTGTCCTAAGGAATAGGCACGAAGTCCATCGCTGCCAGGGTTCATCAAACATGCACTAAGTCCATAGTTGCCGATGTTATCTGTTAGGCACTAAGTCTATAGCTGCCAATGTTCATTTATAGGGTACTAAATCCATAGCTACCAACGTTCATTTGTAGGGCACTAAGTCCATAGCTGCCAATGTTCGTTTATGGGGCACTAAGTCCATAGCTGCCAGGGTTTTTAGAGTACATCTGGTGAACACATTGTTCACAACACCTACAGGTTGCGAGTCTGCTAGTGTTCCACTGGACTGTCTAGAATAGTCTGTGGTTGTCATCTATACTCTGCTAGATGATTGGGCCATCGCTTGGGTCAAGGCTTCTCATCATCTTTCACATCTCATCATCTATATCATCTTTCATCTCTCATCATTCATCTCATCTTTCATCTCTCATCTCATCTTATCTTTAATCTACCAATCTTTATCCATCATAATTATAGGTATAAAATACGTATAAAATTTAAATCGAATAAAACATGTATATTTTGTTCATCCAGCATAGATATCAAGAACACATATAATATGCACACATAGCACGTAATTTATATTAAATATTTCAGATCTATGAGTAATATGAAAGTAACTATGTTACACTCACTTGTTAAAGTGGTGATTCTGAACTCGGGCAGCGCTTCACTTCTAACAATTATATTTTCCTTCGACGAAACCTAGTCTCATTACTGCTAGATTTTAGTATAATATTTATAGCGACTGTTTATGAGCGTTATTATTTTATGAGTGTTAAACAATACTTTTCAACCACTATGTACAGATAGGGGCCAGACATGAAACACCATAGGGCAGGACCATTTTGGCATTATAGCATTTTTGAAATCCAACAACCCTATACGGCCCTTCAAACCAGATTCCCCGTACCGCGAGTAGTTAAAAGATATTATAATAACACTTTGTATATTATATTTTATAGTATATTTATTGTTTATAAGTTCATAATAACGATATTGAACTTAAACATAAGCTATACTTGAAGTAGGGTAAACATAACTCACTTACCGAGAGGTTTGGCTAAGAACCGGGCTCTGCGGGGGTAAAACTTCTGATCCGAAAGCTCCTCTTCTCGGAGCCTTCTGGCACTTCGGGGCTTTCCTCTAGCAATTAGGAGTTACTAGGGATTTAGGAGAGGTTTAGAGAGAAGTTAGAGAGAGAGAGAATGGTTATGGTGTGAGGAAAAAGGGTGAGCTTCGCATGATATTTATAGGCTGAAATATTGTAACATCCCAAAATTCAAGGCCAAAAATTTCATTTTTAAATAAGTTATTACATAGACCATCAGTATAAAAA